CCCGGTTCAGTCCCGGTTCAGTCCCGGTCCAGTCCCGGTCCAGTCCCGGTTCAGTCCCGGTTCAGTCCCGGTCCAGTCCCGGTCCATTCCCGGTTCAGTCCCGGTTCAGTCCCGGTCCAGTCCCGTCCGTCCATTCCCGTCCAGTCCCGCCATTCCCGGTTCAGTCCCGGTTCAGTCCCGGTTCAGTCCCGGTCCAGTCCCGGTCCATTCCCGGTTAGTCCCGGTTCAGTCCCGGTTCAGTCCCGTCAGTCCGGTCCAGTCCCGGTTCCAGTCCGTCCAGTCCCGTCCAGTCCCGGTTCAGTCCCGGTCAGTCCCGGTTCAGTCCCGGTTTTAGTCCCGGTTCAGTCCCGGTCCAGTCCGGTCCAGTCCCGGTCCAGTCCCGGTTCCAGTCCCGGTCCAGTCCGGCTCAGTCCCGGCCCAGTCCCGGTCCAGTCCCGGTCCAGTCCCGGTCCAGTCCCGGCTCAGTTCTTCTCTCGTCTTGCAGTGTGTGATGGGATCGGCGTTGGGGCTCTCGTCAGAACTTTGGCCGTGAACTCAACAAACATCGAATCGTTCAGAAACTGCACCAAGATCAACGGAGGAATCTCCATCCTCCCCAACACCTTCACAGGGTAAACTGACCCTCTGACCCTCTGACCCTCTGACCCTCTGACCCTCTGACCCTCTGACCTCTGACCCTCTGCCCTTCTGCCTCTCTGACCCTCTGACCCTCTGCTCCTCTGACCCTGACCTCTGACCCTCTGCTCTCTGACCCTCTGCTCCTCTGACCCTCTGACCCTCTGACCTCTCTCTCTGACCCTCTGACCTCCTCTGACCCTCTGCTCCACCCTCTGACCCTCTGCTCCTCTGCTCCTCTGACCCTCTGCTCCTCTGCTCCCCTCTGACTCCTCTGCTCCTCTGACCCTCTGACCCTCTGCTCCTCTGACCCTCTGACTCCTCTGCTCCTCTGCTCCTCTGACCCTCTGACCCTCTGCTCCTCTGACCCTCTGCTCCCTCTGCTCTCTGACCCTCTGCTCCTCCTCTGACCTCTGCTCCTCTGCTCCTCTGACCCTCTGCTCCTCTAACCCTTCTCCTCTGACCCTCTGCTCCTCTGCCCTCTGACCCTCTGCTCCTCTGACCCTCTGCTCCTCT